GGTTTGGAGGTGCCCAGATGAGGCCCAGCTGTGAAGCAATGCAAGCTGCTGTGGGGCCTTGGGCCTTCTTTTGGAAGTTCTGGGTCTCTGCTGCAGTTCTGCAGTTTGTTAGGTAATTTTCAGATTGCAAAGGGCCAGGCCTTTCATATGCAAAAGCCTCTGCGCACACGGGTGGGGTGCTATGGCTGCTCCTCAGTCCTACCCTAAGAGCCCCCGCGTCTCAGTGTCACGGTAATCGCTGCAAGCACCTCTGAGAGAAAGCCACCCTCGAGTTCCGACCCATGCCAGACAGTCCAGTTTCTCCCCGTATGAGTCTGGGTCCCCAGAGACTCGCCCAGAACTGGAGTTCAGAGCAGTCGGAAGCTTGTGACTCCCTCCCGATTCAAAAAGACAGCTGCGTCCTCAGTCGCCAGCCCTTGCCGCGTGCGCTTCCATACCTCTGCACTTTACTTCCGCTCCTCCTCTGAGTCTCAGTGTACTTTTCTCTTTCCTTCTAGATGTAGAATTTCCACTCAGCCAGCCTTCCTGTTGTTCTGGATGATGTCTGTTTTGTCTTTTAGTTGTATTTTTGAAGTGGTTGTGCGAGGCAGCAATTTCCAGTGTTTACCTATGCCACCATCTTGGTTTCTCCTGGAGCCAAATCTTTGAAGCTGGTTCCAGCAAGGCAGTTCTCCACGTGCTTATATGGCGTTAAGCGGGCGGGTTTCAAGCACTTGGCAACAGCTTGAAATGCAAGTGCAGATCCATCACCCCCAGTGCCTGCTCCTCACAGGTCTGTTCTGATGCCTTTGCTCAGGAAGGACAGCCTTTCCCTGTACTTCCTCCTGCACAGGCTCCAGGCCAGATAACCAAGCTGAACTCCACCCCCACCCAGCTCAGATCTTCCTGAGGTGGGAGGGGAGGTGATGCAGGAACACCACCTGCAAAGGTGGAGATGTGGGGCGGTCAGAGAGCAGCAGGAAAAGTCCAGAGAAATCCCTACAGACATTGAGCCCATCCCCCTCTGTCCTTCCCTCCTGAGAGCCCTTCCCTGGCTGCTCACTCAGAATTCACTAGCCACTTTCTCTTCTCACACTCATTTTCTGCATTCACTTAAAACTTTTTAATTGTGGTAAAAGACATAATATAAAATTTACCATCTGAACCATTCCTACATGTATAGCTTGGTTGTGTTAAGTACATAGACACTGTTGTGCAATCACTACCACCTTCCATCCACAGCTGAAACTCAGTGCCCATTAAACACAAGCTCCCCATCCCCTCCCCAGGCCCACAACCGCCATCTACTTTCTGTCTCTGAATCTCACTACTCCAGGGACCTCATATAAGGGGAATCACAGAATATTTGTCCTTTTGTGACTGGCTTATTTCACTGAGCATGATGTCCTCAAGGTTCACTCATGTAGCATGTGTCAAAATTTCCTTTTTAAGACTGAATACTATTCCATTGTATGTACAGACCACATTTTGTTTATCCATTTATCTGTGCATGCACACTTGGGTTGCTTCCACCTTCTGGCTATTGTGAACATGGGGAATAACTATCTCTTTTGTACGGGTATCTCTTTAAGACCCTGCCTTCATTTTTGTGATACATACCCCGAAGTGGAATTGCTGGAACAGACAGGCAGACTCACTTCCTTCATCTGCAGAACCACTGTGCATGCACACTTGGGTTGCTTCCACCTTCTGGCTGTTGTGAACATGGGGAATAACTATCTCTTTTGTACAGGTATCTCTTTAAGACCCTGCCTTCATTTCTGTGAATACATACCCCGAAGTGGGATTGCTGGAACAAACAGGCAGACTCACTTCCTTCATCTGCAGAACGCAAGGCTTGGCCCTCAAAGCCGCTCTGAGCTGGGCTGTCAACATGCTCGGCACGGCTGTTGAGGAACAAGGGCCTTCAGAGCCCCCCACCCATGGGACGGCTGTCACCCAGTGGTGCCAGTCTCCTCTGTGGCCCTAGGAACAAGGCCGTCTTGGAATCAGGAGCCTCCCGTGTCTGCTTTATTTCCAAACAGGCTCCCTTCTGAGGAGGAGAAGCGGAAAGCGAGGTCCCAGTGCCACTTACAGGTTTCACAGATGTAGCTCTGCTTGCGGTTTTTGTGGAACAAGTGAATTTCTCTCTTCGCCTCTCTCTTCACCTCTGAGGTTTGTCTGCCTCCTGCAGTGCTGCTCGGCCTCTCTCTCACCTTTCCTGGGACGGGCTCTGGACTCCTAATGGCTGTTTTCAGGGCCTGGGTGGGGTCATGTCGTCTTTAGCTAATGTGGAGCTGGGTCGGTTAATAAATCCACCAGGCCGGGTAATTAAAGACCGAGGAGTGTGAAAGGTGTGTTTTTAAAAGCCTGTTAAAATCTCTTCTCCGTGTCTGGCAGGGACTGCTATTTAATGTGGAACTTGAGAGCTGCACCATTCAGTGCGATGCATTTAATTTGGCAGCATCCTGCTTGAACTCGGAGCGGGCACCTGTTGCAGTATCTTGGTAGCCTGGTGGGCTATTCTGTGCATGTGCTTTAGAGAAGAAGAGCTGAAAGAAACTGGGTGCCATTTGCTCTCACAACATCCCAGCTGTAATGCACCTCTCCTGGCAGCCAGTGTCCTCTGAGGAATGTTTTGTCTTGACAGAGGCTTTTGTTTTTTCATGTGGGCCAGTAGCAGCACATGTGTTGGGTGCTGTGATGGGTGCGTGGGAAGTCCTGACCCCTGGTAACGCACTTGCTGCGACCTCAGAGGATTTCCACAAGAAGCCCTCAGCCTTTCAGGGCACCAAGCTGATAGGTCCATCAGTGAGGGACAAGTCTAGTCTGTAATAAACGCAGC